ATTTCATCAATATCCAGAGATCAATTACTGAAAAGAACTATCAAACTCTCAAAGAACTTGTCCAAGGTTCCAAGAACTAAACTCAAGAGAAATCAACTCAAATCCTCATCAAAGGTGTTAAAGACTACAAGAGAATACTTCTATGATGTTGTGGTGTGATTGAGGGCTATTGTGAGCTAAGTTGGGATGAGGTTTCGAGTTGTAGCTGCTGTCCAATGTATGTATAATATATTCTTGATTGTGCCTAAGGTTAATCTTGTGTTTGTTGTGTTGTTTGAGTGAAAAACCATAAGATGCACTTGAAGGAACATGGAATATGGTTGTCTTTTTGGTTGGACTGTTTTGTGGTGGCCGAAAATTGTGAGAAATAATTTGATAATGTTGTGGATGCTGTTGCTAAGCTTTTCTAGGTGTTAATTAAGTTTATTGAAGAAGAAAAGATGAAAAATAAGTGATTGACGATAAAAATTAAGGTGCTAGACGTATGAGGCTGTTTTGGAAGGCATTTGTGGAGGTTTTAAACTAGAAATAATATGGTACATATAAGTATGATGCTCTGAAGGTTATAAACTAATTTATGGAATAAGAGTTGGATTCAATTTATATCTTGTTATGAGTAAAAGAAACGAGCTTGCCGCTCAATATGATTGTTAAGATAATCGGAGAAACTCATATTAGATTATATTGTTGTTGTTGCTGGTGTTGGTTATAGTTGTTGTTGTTGGGTTGTTGATGACCCTTAGTGGTCTTTGGGGCGTATTAAGAATAGGGGAGTTGCTGCTCGATTTTCCTTAAGTCACGCGACTAGCCAAATACGATGGTATGACATTATATGTTAACGGCAATATCATTTCACTTGTTGTAGATGCAAGAAGTTGTGTTGAGCTTGGTTGAGTAATAAGGAAGAGATCATACAGGTATGTTAAGGCTATCCCTTCTTTCTTTTTGGCATGATCTGTACAACATGAATGAAACGAGCAAATGCACAACTTCCATAAATGACTCTATTCATGGAAATACTAGAGATGCTTATGTTCTTGATTCCCCATATGTCTTATTATTCTATCGTCTGTTCATGGGTCTGAGAAAATACGTAAATTGATAAAGTTTATTTCATGATGTTAATCAGAGGCATAATAGTCTTATGACGTGCCAAGAGATTTTATTAACGTATTTCATATGCATTTATACATGCACATTGACCCATGACCAGATGGCGTTATATACGCGTATATATATGTATATGGGATATGGGAAAGGTTATGGCGTTATATACGCACCACCACCTGATCAGCCGGTATACGTTGATGATTTTGCCCACAGTGGCCGAGATGATATGATGGGATGCCCTCAGAGGCTTGATGATGTTATGAACACATGTACCTATGCACGACATGACATTCATACGCATATGCATGACACTATAAGTATTTCATGATTTACAGAGTTATCCAGACTTACACGTTGAGTCACTTACCCTATATTTCTTCCATGTCTTTTATGTACTTATTTATGTGCCTTACATACTCGGTACATTATTCGTACTGACATCTCTTCTGCCCGGGGACGCTGTGTTTCATGCCCGCAGGTCCTGATAGACAGGTCGAGAGTCCACCAAGTAGGCTATCAGCTCAGCGGAAGATGTTGGTGCGCTCCATTTGCTCCGGAGTTGCTTGTTTGGTCAGTATAATTTAGACCGTATTGTTTGGTATGGCAGGGCACTGTCCCGACCTTTATGATAAGTATGCACTCTTAGAGTGTTATAGACATATATCATGTATACGGATACTTATATGGCCTTGTCGGCCTCTGTTTTGAGTATATAAAGAATCATGCCAGCCTTACAGGCCCGTACTTCATATGTATAAGTTTGTATTTCCTCATGCTTTACTCCGTTTCGTTTACCTATGATAGAATGATATAAAAGATACGTTATGCTGGTACTCGATTGAGTAAGGTACCGGGTGCCCATCGCGGCCCATCGGTTTGGGTCGTGACATATCCAAATTGTGCGGTCGTACATCAATAGTGATGCACTATCAGGATTCGGTAAATTTTTTATAACTTTCTGCATAAATGTCCAAATGATGAATGATTTATCTTTCTGGAAACTAGACTCAAAGCGCTACAACTTTCATTTTTGGATCATCTCCAAATTCCTTATAGATTAAAAGATATAAGCTTCCGAAGTCAAACCATCAAACCTACAGATTCCCTTTTCAACGGCAAGAGGATTTCTGCGGTCTGCACATGAGGCTTTGCCATAGCCCTCCAAAATGTGCCCTCCGCACTTCAACTATTCCAGAACATCATCAGCGTGCCAAAATGCCCAAACTCGTTCAAACTCACCCCCGAACCACTCGGGACCCCGTCCGAATATACCAACAAGTCCCATAGCATAATACGGACCTACTCGAGGCCTCAAATCACACCTAACAATATCAAAATCACGAATCGCACCTCAACTCGGACTTAATGAACTTTGAATCTTCCAACTTCCAAAATTCGTGCCGAAGCGTATCAAATCAATCCGGAATGACTTCAAATTTTGCACACAAGTCATAAATGACATAACGAAGCTACTGAAATTTTCGGAACCAAAATTCGAACTCGATATCACAAAATTCAACTTCCGGTCAAACTTATGAACATTCCAAACCTTCAAATTTCCAATTTTAGCCGATTAGTGTCGAAACCTTCTAGAAATACCCAAATGAAATTCCGGGCATACGCCCAAGTCCGAAATCATCATACGAACCTTGGAACCTTCAAATCCAGATTCCGAGGTCGTTTACTAAAAATTTAAACCTTAGTCAATTCTTTAAACTTAAAGCTTCCGAAGTTAGAATTTTCCTTCCGAATCAACTCTGAACTTCCCAAAATTCAATTCCGACCACACGTACAAGTCATAATACATGAGGTGAAGCTATGCAACGTCTCAAGTCGCTGAACGACACGCTAGAGCTCGAAACGACCGGTCGGATCGTTACAATAATCACTAAAAATTCTTATAAATCTAAATCAATCGAAAGTCATTTATAAGTATTTTTGATTTTATCAATTTTTTTATTTTATTCCTAATATCCTTAACCACTATTGCATACTTTTCCACAGAGAAAATCAATAACTCTTTTTTCCCCAGAAAATCAATAATTTACATTTCTTTTTTTTTTTCATTCTACCTCTTCTTGTAAATACTTTTAAGGTGTAATATTTTATTTTAATTGAATACTTAATATTTAAGCAACAAGTAAAAATTTCTATTTTTTGTAAAAATTTTGTAAAAGTAAAATAAAATATAAAGTATAAAATAGAAAATTCAATCAAAATAAAAGTGTCATTCTCTTTTTATTTTTTTAATTTTATGTTTACCACCTTGGTGGACTATAAAAAAAAAGCTTTCAAATATTCCACAATACATTTTTATGTACTATGATTTTAATTAGTGGTTTTGACGAGATGTATCTCTCTCTCCTAAAGTCATTTCCCTTCTAGTAGCACTTCATCATTAATGAAATATAAGTCCTCGACAGGCACGAACAAAAAGAAGAAGAATATATATATATATATAGAAAAATACTTTAAAATCCCTTAAACTTGGCACGTATTATTGCTTACATCCTTGAACTATTAGTGATCTTAATTATACTTGGTTATTCGATAATTTTTACCCTCTTGGACGATCTCATCCTGGGAAAGTGGCATGCACTCGCCTGTCACGCGGATTTTCCTGTCACGTGTGGCATTTATTTAAAAATAAAATATATTTTATATCTTTTTAAGTGTGTTACTTTTTCAGATAATCTTTTTCGAATTATATTTATAATAAAACTTGGCTAGAACTACATTATTTAGGCTAATCATTTTTATTTGGCTAAAAATAATAAAGTTTTAGTTATTATTTTTTGAATTTAACCTGAAAATAAATATTTATACAGTTGAAATAAATAGTCAAGGCATCTAAAAAGATATTAAAAATATTTAGTTTGATTTTTTATTATTTTGTCTATAATTTTTTATATAGCTCTAAATTATGGAGCTCTAAAAATATTTTTTTCCACAAATAATTCCAAAAAAAAAAAAAACATAGTTGAATTAGTCACTGCATCAAAAGAAGAAATAAAAAGAGTGTACATTTGCAAGTTCATTATTTTGGCTTTACCTTTTTACATGGTAAAAAATAATGGAGTTGTTGCCTTCTTTTTTATGATTTGACTCGAAAATAAAAACACACAATTTAAATAAATAGACATTATATATAAAGAAAAAATAATAGAAAATACACAACTCGTACTCCATTTTTTTGCTAAAAGTTTTCTATTTGGCTAAACTGATAGAGTTCCAACCAGACTTTTACAAATTTGCCCCCCCTGTACCCCCGCCTCCCCCCCCAAGAAAATACAGTCGGAACATATTATATCTGTAGAAGAAATTAAAAAGAATAAAAATTAGAGTAAAGTCTACATTATATGTTAAGATGAAGCAAGAAGAAATATATAGTTGTAACGAATAAATCATTATATATGACTATATGATAATTAAAAGTTAAAAAGAAACCTACTAGGAAGCTAATTTTTCAAAAGGCCAAGTTCAGGGAGTAATTAAGATCACGAATACTTTGGGGGTGTAACTAATAATCCGTGTCAAGTTTAGGTTTTTTTTAGGTATTCCGCCTCTATATCTATATCTATATATATATATATATATATATATATATATATATATATATATATATATATATAGTATTTTTTAGGTATTCTGCCTCTTCTTGTTAATATATACTTTAAGATATATTTTTTCATAGACAACTTTTAGGATATTTCAATTATTTTGATAGCTAATATTTTTTTACCAAACAAATTTAATATTAATAAATAATTTTGACGCAGTTATAGGTTTATCAACCACTACTCTCAATTCATTAACCAAAAACGGAGACGAAATAAAAACATCATAAACTGGAGAGACCAAAAAGTCAAAAGCTCCAATTTCCCATTTTCCATGGTAGTTGCTGTGTTCTGCTCACGTAGTGACCAATTTAATACTCCTATTTGCAATATCTACCACCATTAAACAAATACTACTACTACTACTCTACTGAAAAGTATGCAATACAGCTTTTCCTTTTCTTTCTTTTGTCTTCATCTTCTCTTTATTTCATTCATTGAGATATAATTGTATTTATTCCAAACCCAACCGAAAGACTAGTTGATATAAAACATTTCTTGGATGTTGACCCACTTTTCTTTTCTTTCTTCTCTCTTTTGCAAAGATCTCTGAATTTTAATTTTTGGTCATCAATTTTTACTTTTGGGGTTCGAAGTTGACTTTGTTCTTCTTCTTAAGGTACAGATCTCTGATTCTGATACTTGATTTTTCACCTTCAGATCTTGTCTTTTAAGCCACTCTAGCTCTGTTTTATTTTTTGTATTTATTTATGCCAGTTTTTTCCGGGTATATGAGGATCTTTTTTCTGTAAAATTAAGTCTTTTGAGAGAGGGTTTTGCTCCTTAGTTTTGATTTCTTTGATACTAATTGGTATAAAGTTTGTGTCTTTTTGGAATTTTGGGCTTCAATTTTTGTTTTTGTAGAGAAATTTATGTTGTTTTCATGTTTTCTGCAGGTGTGGTAAAGATAAATTAGAGGAGCTTTGATTTAGGTTACAACACTTTAACAGGTTTGTCTTAATAGGGCTAAACTCATTTGTCTTGATTGATTGGTATCAGTATAGATATATGTTAAAGTAGTAAATCTGTTGAATCTATGGTTTGTACACAGAGATATTTAGGGAGACAAAACCTAATCTTTTGAGTCATAAACGGCCCGAGAAAGAAAATTTTAAGTTAAAAGACAAAATCATAAGTTTTTTTGTAAATGAATAATAAACAAGCTATGCTTCTGAGTAGAAAAAGAAAGTTCAAAGCCTCGAGGCTCGAAATCACTAGGCTAAGGAAAATAAAAGAGGTGGAGGATTGATGAAAACTTTACAAACCTGGACCTTTAAAGAAAGTATTTTCTTTTTCATCTGGTACTTGAAAGACTATCCTTATTTTCTTAGATTCAGCCTGTTCTTTCAGCCTATGTTGCGCGGACTCTCCAAAATGATGCTGCACCCGTGTCGGATCCTCCAAAATACTCTATTTTTGGAGGATCCGACACGCACCCGGTAAAATTTTCGGAGAGTCCGAGCAACATAGCTTTCAGCTGTTTATGGGATTTTACATCATGTGTAAAGTACAATTTCTGAATCGTCTTTAAGATTCTTTGCATAGATAGTTTATTTTTATTTTTTTACATTTAAATCAAGACATTTTCTGATATCCCAACAGGTAGTTGAATTTATCCTTTTCTGAACTAGAAGGCGGGTGGAATAAGTTTTGGGTTTCCTTCTTCTTTTTCTATGTGCTGGAATTGCTAAAACAGTGCTACATCAGAAAAGCAGTTATCTTTCTATGTTCCATCAGTTCTTGTCTTGCAACTAAGCAAAGACAACTAGCATCAGTTTAAGAATCTTATGAAGTTTGTATCTGATAAATCTCATGTGATTTACTGTACTTTGGTGTCCTTGTGAAACTATCTTTTTTTCTACTCTCTTTTTTCCTTTTCTTGCTTTTCCTTTTTCTTTTCTCTTTATATGCCTTTCGTGCTTCTCTCTCTTTGCTTTTCTTCTTAGCAACTTATTCTTCTCGCTAGTGGAACATGATTTGGTGTTTCTTCTTTTGCAGCCTTGTCCTTTGACAAGTTTGCTTCAGTTTACTGGAAAAAGGCTTATCTTTTAAGGAAGAGCAGAAAGAGCAGTACCAGTTGTTCTGGTGTTTGGACTTGTATCTGTAAGTGTTGGTATTAGATGTCGTTCCGCAGTATAGTTCGGGATGTAAGAGATAGCTTTGGCAGCTTATCCAGGCGAAGCTTTGACGTAAGGCTCTCTGGTCATCAAAGGGGTAAATCACATGGTTCATTTCATGACTTAAGCGACCAGCCTGTTGTTGTCCAGAACAGTTGTTGGGCTAATCTCCCACCAGAACTACTTTTTGATGTAATTAGAAGATTAGAAGAGAGCGAGAACACATGGCCTGCTCGTAAGCATGTTGTAGCATGTGCTTCAGTTTGCAGGTCATGGAGGATTATGTGCCAGGAAATTGTAAGAAGTCCTGAAGTTTGTGGAAAGCTTACTTTTCCAGTGTCGTTAAAGCAGGTAAGGAAGCCCTACTCTCATAGTGGAGAAGAGTATTGGCTAATCTTTTGGAGGAGAATTGACTAGTTTGTTTATTTCATTTTTCAGCCTGGGCCTCGTGACGGAATGATTCAATGCTTCATCAAGAGGGATAAATCTAATTTGACTTACCATCTTTTCTTGTGTCTCAGTCCTGGTAAGGATTCATTATTAAAGTCTTTTCTAGGGCACAACTAGTACTTATATTTCCAGTTGTGATTTGAGATTATTTTTGGCTTTGTTGCCTAGAAAGTTTTCCAGAGTTTGATGAAAACTTCTGCTTCATTTGTAGCTTTACTAGTTGAAAATGGGAAGTTCCTTCTCTCTGCAAAGAGAACAAGGCGGACTACTTGCACGGAGTATGTTATCTCCATGAATGCAGAAAACATCTCGAGATCAAGCAACACTTACGTTGGAAAATTAAGGTAAAGCAGAGGAGCTGTTCATTTTCTTTTTCCCCATATCTTTCTTGCGGGATGTTTCAGGAAATATTAATGTAAAACAAATACATTCTTACCCCTTAACACTTATCAAAGAGAAAAGGTTTCTCACAAGTTAGCCTCACATCAAATACTAAGCATGAGCATCTCAAAAGGCTTGAAATTATTGAGTACTTTAGTTAATGCTTATAATACATACATCAGGAAAAAAAAAAAATCATGTCCAGCCAGAAAGAATCAAATTTCCTTAAGGGAAAGGGAAAGAAATGTAAATGTAGTGCATTCTGCTCATTGATATAGCTGAATCCGACTATAACTAGCCTTCTGCTATAGGTTTGATTGATACAGCGATGTTTGCTCAACTGCTCTAAATAACAGATCTTGTGTTATTTCTGTTTTCATCTAACGCAGCTTTATAGTGTTTATCTGCACTTTTTTGACATGAAGTTCATTATTTATTAAGTATATGACTAATCAGAAAGTGTTTCCTGATCACTTAATACCGCCGTTCATTGCAGGTCAAACTTTCTGGGTACAAAATTCGTTATATATGACACACAGCCTCCATGCACGTCTGCTAACATCCCCCCTCCCGGCCGCACAAGCCGTAGATTCTCCAAGAAAGTCTCTCCTAAAGTCCCAACTGGAAGCTACAGCATAGCTCAGATCAAATACGAGCTAAATGTTCTTGGAACAAGGGGCCCACGGAAAATGAACTGTGTCATGCACTCGATTCCTGCCTCAGCACTTGATGTGGGCGGTTCTGTGCCTGGCCAACCAGAGCTTCTCTCAAGGTCCCTTGAGGATTCATTCCGAAGTATCTCTTTCTCAAAGTTGCTTGATCATTCTACTGATTTCAGTAGCTCACGGTTTTCTGAAATTGTTAGAGCATCATCCAATGAGGGAGATGATAGCAACGCGAAACCCTTGGTTCTAAAGAACAAGTCACCGCGTTGGCACGAACAACTGCAGTGCTGGTGCCTAAACTTTCGAGGACGAGTGACAGTTGCATCTGTAAAGAATTTTCAGTTGATTGCGGCCAACCAACCACCTGCTGGCGGACCCACAACCTCTCGGTCAAGTCAATCAGATCATGACAAAGTCATCCTGCAATTTGGCAAGATAGGCAAAGATATGTTCACTATGGATTACAGGTATCCACTGTCTGCAGTTCAGGCTTTTGCTATATGCTTGAGCAGCTTCGACACCAAATTGGCATGTGAATAGAAGGAAAAAGTTGTTACATTAGGATGGAAAAAAATTTAACCGTGATGGCTTTGTTCTGGATATATTTTATTTTGTTTCTTATTTTCGCCAGTAGAATTAGGGGTTGTCCCTAATCTTGTAAAAACCTGATTTAATCGCAACACTGATCTTGTGCCAGTGGTGCTACATATGCCAAACACTTTGTGCTCTGGACTGTGCAATGACACTCACTGTTGACCACAGTTCTGGGCTGCTGACATTGTGTGGCTATCCATGGGAATTGTACTCTTGGTCTGATTAACTCAAATGCTATGGATCTTTCAATTTACTACAGGAGTTTCCAATATTGAAAAAACATGAGATAGATAATACTGCAGAACTGAATTGTTACGGGCTTTTCAAGTAAGATCTAGGGGTAGTATCACTTTTAGCCCGCGCCACAAATTATTTACATCTAGTAGGCGAAAAAATGTATAAAATTTGTATAATTTTTTGTATATAACATATAGAATGTGTGTGTATGTGTATATATATATATATATATATATATATATATTATATATATTCAGCTATTATTTTTATAGCGGCTATACAATATCATTTTTTTCCTAGCATCTACTTCATCATTTTACTAACAATCGTGTTTTAAGCTCAAAATTATTTAAAAGTGAGAATCTAGTGCATAATAACCTCAATGGGGTACAATAAAGCATATTACTTGCATCTCACTTGCGCCTGTATTTTCAATCCCTTTGACCATCAGACATTGGTTGGCTGATTTGAGGAGAATATATAAAGCAACAGTCTTTGATTACCAGTTTGGTGTACGAAGAATTTTTTTGCGAGAGGTATTGATATCTACATGAATACATCAATACGAATGTTCTCGACGAGTAACCGAACTGGAGTTTCTGTTCTTCTCCCCAAATTTGCTAATATGATATGGTAATATTTCTTTTAATTTAAGTGGTCATGCCGGTTTAATGCTAAAGTTCAGTCACGGGTTTCCATTTCTTTGTGTACAGATGAGGCAGGCTTAAAAGTTAAAACTAGAGGAGTTCATAAAAACTCAAAAAATCAAAGCAAATCGAAAACCAAACAAATTCGACCAAGAAAACAATACTTTTTTGGTTTTGTTTTTGAAGTTTAAAATTCTAACAAATTTGGTTTAGTTTGGTTTTAATAAAATAAAATAAAAATAATCGAAAGAATCGAACCAAACCGACTATAGAAGTAGCTATTTATAATGTATTATTACACCTATATATATATATGTATATTCTATACAAAGTTTCTAAAATTTTATTGTACATATTAATTGTTTGCACTTTTAGTCTAGTTCTTTGCCTTTACATTCTAGTTGTAGTTTTCTTTTGCTAAGTATGAGAATCTGGTTCATGTTAAAAATACTCTATTTTTAATTGAGTCCTTAAATTATTAATCGCTATTTGATTCAACTATCATCAATATACATTAGTAAATAACAGATTTCTCAAAAGAGCAATTGGTTTGATATTGTTACGTTGAAAATGTAATCACCGGAATATGTGTTTGGTAGTGTATGTCTCATCTTTAAGAAAAAATCAATAAAAATTCGAAAAACCGACATAAACTGAAGTGATTAAAAAATCGGCGTATTGGTTTGGTTTGGTTCCAATATTTAAAAAACCGACTTAATTGGTTTGGTTTCTTTTTAAAAAAAAATCGATCCAAACCGAACCATGAACACCCCTACTTAAAACAACATTGTTTCCAGTCTCATTTTGTTGACTGAGAAATACAAATTTAAGCTCCCGTTTGGCCATAAATTTTGGTTGTTTCTTTTTTTTTTTTCCAGAAAATATTTGAAAACAGTGTTTGCTCATGGAACGTGATTAGTTTTTGCAAAAAGTTTGAATTTTTTTTTTCAAGTTCCTAAAAACTAGTTTAGGGCAGTTTTTGATGAAAATGTTCTTCCACTCAAAATTTTCACTTTCGTTTTCAAATATAATATATGTTCAAATACAACTCCAACTTTCAAAAATTATTTTTCAACACAACTTTACAAACTCTTGTTTTTTTAAAAGGAAAAAATTCAACCAAATTTATGTCCAAACACTAGCTTAATGAATGCACATAGAAACTTGAACATGTGAGAGCTAGGTTAACCGCTAGAGATGCTGCTTTTATCAACAACATTGTCCAATATTATATATAAATAAATTTTGTGTTTTGTTTTTTCACAAGTTATTAAAAGAGCATAGAAAGATAAAAATGTATCTGTAATGGTTGCTCCTATAATACTGCCTTCTTTAACTGGTACCTTGCTTTCAAATTCTCCCCTCCGGTTTTGATGTCTTCGGAACTCATACAATATCGGTCAGATGCTTGTACCCGGTGTCAACTATTTGTTGACTCATATTCTACCTATCTTTACTGTCACGTGTCAATTAGACGAACGTTCACCTGCCATTCATTAATTTTACCTCATACGAATAGTCCCCCTATTTTTCGGTGACTCAATCTTGATGTGACGGAGAAGTAGATAAGTCCTCTTTTCTTGGTGGAAAAGTTCTTGAATAATTTCTGACACTTGAAAGGACGCACGTCTCTTTGCATTTAATGAGCTGAACACGTGTTGTCCCGTGATTCGACACGTATTTATCCAGTTACCTAGGTAATGATGGACTTGCATTCCGCCGCCTATAAACTTATTTCTTTTTCACCACTTTCATCTTTTACTTTTACAAACTTTCTTCTCTGAGTCTTCCTAAAACTTTTTCTACAATTCTCTTCTTCTCAACAAAAACTTACAAATTCATAATTTTCATCACTATGTCTTCTGCTATTTCTTCCTCCAGTTACCTAGAAACTTGCATCGGTGGCAGTCTATCCAAGAAGAACAAGTCTAAGAAACCCAGCATCGGTCCTCCCTTTACTAAAATGATCATCCCTTCTCAATTCTCTTGCAAATGGATCTCATGTTCAAAAGGAATCTTCTGACCCCAACAACGATAGAAATTGAGCTGTTGGTAAATATCCTTCTTTTATTCGCCAGGCCAATATTCCTGTTGTAAAAGAGGATTGTGGCTGAAAGAATATTGAGGTTTTATCCCCCAGTGAAGTGGAAAGGATTACATTCAGTAAACTAGGGTACATGTACGTTTACACGTACCATTTCACTTTAAGACTTGGCAAGGAAATAGACCCAATCATCTTGGAGTTTTGTCGGAACTACCGTGTTTGTTTGGCTCAAGTAGGAACGGCAATATGGTGCACGTGGCTTGCCTTCGATTCCTATGTTCCCAGGCTCAGGAAACCCTTACTCTTGCTCATATTATCAACCTCTATGCCCCTAAGATTTTCTGTGGAGGCATGATTAAACTCAGCAAACGCGGTCACCATGCCATTGTTACCAGTGTTGATAAAGATATTTATATGCGGTCCTAACCTTGCTACTCTTACTTCCACTAGCAAGAGAACTTCTGCTCGTAACATACCCCTAGGGATATAATCTTACTTCTTGAAGCGAGCTACTTTAACTGCCAAAGGAGCGGGACGAACGTAGTTGGATGGAGAAGTTTATTGTTGTCGCTCCCGGAAATATTTTACCAGCGTCAACATCTCCGATTCCCAAATCCTGGGACTACACTCGCAAGCTTTTTTAACATCCTTCTTTTACTATGTTAAAGGAAATTCCCTCTTACTAAACTTCCTTTTCTCTCATTTCAGCCACCGTTCCTCTAGCAGTTGAGAACCTAACACAATCAGTTCAGAAAATTCTAGATACTTTCACACCGGACTCCCATAAGTGGAAGGAAATTTCAATTAGGTTCAACTTGTAGGCCAAGAACCATGGTGATAAAAACTTCCCCTTTCCTTTCTTAACTTTAACTCTATGCAATAGAGAATTTTATACCTCTTTCAACAACATGTAGGCCTTCCGAAGAGATCTTTGTCTGTCCCGCCATCGTATTTTCACACGACTCGAAGGTGTCCCAACAACGGATTTAAGAAGCCATTGAATAGAAGAGGGCTCGTGATACCGCTCTTGCTTCTGGTGAAGGCACATCTTCTCTAAGTCCTCAGCCTGAGGGGAAAAAACTGAAAAGAAAGCATACCTCTAAGGCTGAGTCTAAGGAGAAACCTCTAGTCACAACAGAGATCCTAGAAGGACCGACCACAATGGTCCTTGACGAAGATGAAATTGAAGATGATGATGAAACGGTTTCTCTTTAGAGATGAAGAAAAAGAAGAACTCCCTTAGCTCAACAAGAGGATGTAGAAGGACTCTTTACTGCGTTCGACTTGGTTGAGAATGCTGAATCTTGCTTCTGGGATCCAGTTACTGCCGCTGATTAGAAGGGTTCCGCTTCTGATGCTCTATCAACTTCTATTCCAACTCCAACTCTTGCAACACTAGCTCTTACCTCGTCACCAGTCCCAACCGAACAAGAGGAAGATGTGAGTTCCCCCCGATCACCTGATCAAGATAATATAGAAAATGCCTTCTTGATATCTATTCAAAACCCTAACGATGAAACGCCGTGTTACCTTTTTGGTTTTGGATGAATCCCATTTGCTTTCCAAGCTGGTGGGAGTAGCTAACTACTTGAAGCCTTTTGATTCGAATAAGGACAAGAGAAAAATGGATGGTCTCTCCGCGGAATGTTTAATGAACAATAACATGCATCTTGCTGCTCTAATATCATCTCATTCTTCTCTTTTTCCTTTTCACTTGCTAACCATCATCTTTGGCAATTCTAACATTCGACTTTATAGGCAAACTCCTCGCCTCCGAGAGCTTACAGAAGATGATCCTGGATAAAGAGACACTTGTTGCTGAGCCAGATCAAATTGTTGTTGAACGGGGTCAACTTGTTGAGCGCTTCCCGGCTTTAGAGACAAGGCTTGCTCAGATAGACGAACTCGAAGCTCGATTGGAGCAAGTTGAGCAAGAAAAAATGGTCCATAGCCAAGAGGCCACTCGTATGCTGAGCTTGCTGAGTTAAAGTTCAAGTGGGTTGAGATCGAGGATGTTGTGACTTTGGCAGCCGAACGCGAGTATGCTTCCATGGAAAAAATCAACAACCTGGAAGCAAACTTAAGTTCTAAAATCGAGAAAGCTGTTGCGGCCGAGGAGAAGAGGTCTTGGAGAAAAATCGCGAACATGCAAAGACCAATATTGACCTTTCCCGGACATATGGCATCTTAAAGGTTGATAACGAGTGGTTGCAATCGAAAATCCAACGACTCTAAGCCAAACTCCGAGATCAAGAGGATTCTTTCTTGCTTGAGAAAACTAATGTAGTTTATCACATGAGGAGAAAAACTTTGGAGGATGCCAAAGAA